CGCAACCACCCACCCCACAAAACCACCCCGGGTATACATCTTCTTCTTCCTCCTACCGCCACCACCTCACCACCACCATATACATTTTCTAGGTACTTTCTTTTTTAGCTAAAAAAATGAAACAAAAAAAAAGGGTATTTTTTTTCATCATATAGCTTTTTGTGTAGTCTGTTTGTTTGCTATTTGTCATATTCTTGTCCCAATATGGAGTGGTGTATATCACTGTTATTCTTATCCTTTCTTCTCATAGCTCACTTTCAATTTTTAGCTATAGTTCTATCACTTTTATGCATATATATATATGTTCTTGAATTTTTGCCTTTTAGTGGGTCTTTTCTAGTTAATAATTTTTTATTTTATTTTGGTATAATGATGACATGAGTTGAGCCTAAAATGGAAAAGTGAGGATTCGTATAGCAGACCTTAACTTGTTTAGGACTGAAGCGTAATAGTTGTTTGTTTGGTTTTGTAGAAGCTTTTCCAATATGAAAATTTTGAGCTTTTGGGGTTTCTGTTCTTGATTTTTTTTGTGAATTTTTATGCAAAAAGCATATCAAGTTGAAATTTTCTTTCTTGGATGGAATTGAGAATGGCTTTGGTCAGGATTTAGAGTTGGTAGGTGCCACTTAATTATATGAACATATTTTTAAATAATTTCTTTATATCTTCTATAATTTGGATCTGACTATTGTTGCTTGTTCTGAGCTGCATACAGTGTAATCTTGTTATTTTTCTTTAATTTTATTTGGTTTTCCTAATGAAAAATATTTTCTTTTTTGGGTATTCGAAGGGAGAAATCTTAAATGAAGCGATATGGACAATGAGGATTCATACAGCCGATCCCAATTTGCTTGCGATTGAGGTGCAATAGTGGTTGTTGTTTTTTCCTAATAAAGGAGAATTCTTTGGGGTGATTTTGAAGGAGAAAACTATGGATCACAGAAGTCATCAGCAGCAACAGATGACTTCTGGCTTAACTCGATATCGATCCGCGCCAAGTTCTTATTTTTCCAGCCTATTAAGTAGTAATAATCCTGCTGCTGTTGCTAGTGGAGGTGGTAATTGTGGTTATGCAAGAGATGATTTTGAACAGTTGCTCAATTCTCGAGCTTCGAATACTGATATAAAGCAAGTTTTCGATAGATTTGTGGCTAATATTGATCCACAAGATTCGAATTCGAATGGCCTAATTGGTGATACTCAGCAAAATCACATGAGTAATATGAATGTTAGATCAGAAGTTGTAGCTCCTATGAAACAAGAACACGAAGCTCAGCGGCAGAGTCATAATTCGCAGTTTATTGCAGCAGTGAAACAAGAAACTCAGCAAAATAGTGATTATTCTTTGGTTTCACAGATGAATTATCAAACTCAAGCTCAACAAAATGACAATTCGGACCTTAATTCAGCCATGGATAATTTTGCCAGATTTTTGGGTGCGGCAGATTCAAATCGTTTGAACCAGACGAAAATGGATGGTGGATTTGGCACTGGTAGTAGTAATTCAAATCTTACTCGTTATAACAGTTCGCCTGCTGGATTCTTTGCGCAATTTGATATTGAAAATGGTATGCATTGTCTTGCTTCAACATTTTTGGTAGTGATTTTTATGGTTATCATGACTAGTGGTATAAATTCAGATGAAGGAAATGCTTTTAGTTTATGTGGAGATTCATTTTATAAGTCATTTATACATCTAATTGTTCATTTCGAATCTTGCATTATCTGGACTGAACCAAGATTCTATTTTTATTAAGCTATGCTTCTCAGTTTTAATTCTAATCTTCCTAGAAAATAAATTTACATGCATATACATATCATAGTCATTGGAGATAGCTAAATTAGTTCTGAATCTAAGTAGAAGTTTGTGGTCATTTCCATCGTTTTGATCTGATATTAGAGTTTGAGTTTGTTACTAAAACTATTTCAGCAATTGACAGAATATGGTGCAATGAGAGGCATAGGGGGTTATGGAGCTGGTGGTAATGCTGCTGCCGAAGCATCATTTCCAACTCCAAACAGGTTTAGTAGTCAAACGGCTCTCCAATCCGGACAACCGCCTTCTTCGGGGCTATTAGCTCCAATCTCCGAATTTGGTGCTAAAAGCATAGAAGAGGGCCGAGCAGGCGATGAAAGTTTTGGTAAAGGCCATAAAAATGATGACAGTTACATGACAGGTTTCCCCATCCCTTCTTGGGATGATTCACAAATGTTGACTGATGATTTCCTTCAAGTACCAGAAGATAATGAGGCCGAGCCGTTCTCCAATGTAAATGCATCTGATAATCAGGTACTTTGTTAATCACCTTTAACCACCTATATTGAAATGAAACGAGTCCCAAATATTGCGGATGCATATGGCCTACCTGATTAGTTTGAGATTGAGGCGTAGTAGTGGTAGTTGTTTTTGACCTTTTTTTTGCACCTGAGTAATCTCATACGTATATGGTTTTGGTAATCAGAGTAGTGAAGATCGAGCTCGCCCTCCCACTCTATTGTCTCATCTGAGTTTGCCTCAAACCTCAGCGGAGTTATCCGCTATGGAGAAACTCTTGCAAGATTCGGTACCTTGTAAAGTCAGAGCAAAGAGAGGTTGCGCCACTCACCCTCGTAGCATCGCCGAGAGGGTAAATATCTCACAGCTGACAAAATCTACTTTTAAATCCAAATTCAGATCACAAATCATGCAATATTTGAAGTTAACTCAAGTTGTTCTATCCTCCAAAGATGGGTTAAGCGTGTACTGATTTAATTGTTACAAATCTTAGGTAAGAAGAACTCGAATAAGCGAAAGGATGAGGAAGCTGCAAGAGCTTGTTCCTAACATGGACAAGGTAATCTTAACTTACAATTTTACTCAAAATATGATGCAGTGGAAATTTAGGTTCTTTTATTCCTTAAAAAAGGCAGCCCGGTGCACTAAGCTCCCGCTATACGCGGGGTCCGGGGAAGGGCCGGACCACAACGGTCTATAGTACGCAGTCTTACCCTACACTTCTGCAAGGTTGTCTTATTCCTTCTTTTTATTTTATTTTTCATTTTAAATTTCTTTGCAGCAAACAAACACAGCAGATATGTTGGACTTTGCGGCTGACTACATTAAAGAACTAGAGACACAAGTCAAGGTATATCTCAAAAGGAATCACAATGAGCAACACAAAGGGATTCCTTCAATTCACATTTCTCACTTTAACAGTTCAACTCAATGTACAATGAGACCATTTTGTTGAATTTTTTTTCAGGCACTATCCGAAAGGCGTTCGAAGTGTACATGCTCGAATAAATAGAAGACCACATTCAAAAATGCTAAGGTAGGGCATTGTTGTGCACATTCTAGTGGGATAAAAATGACTGACAATGGAAATAGCAAGCAGATAGGTAGATTCTCTTTTGGTACTTGAAGAAGAAGAGATTGGGTTGTTGTCATTTTTTGGTGTGTAAAAAGATAGATGCATATTCATCTGTTGTAACATAATAACCTAACTGTATATAAATTTCCATTGTCAATTTTTCTTGACCTGAAGTTCCGCCTTGGCTTAACTGGTAAAATCGCTGACGTGTAACCAGGAGGTCATGGATTCGAGCCATGGAAATAGCTTCTTGCAGAAATGTAGAGTAAGGTTGCGTACAATAGACCCTTATGGTCCGGCCTTTCTCCGGACCACGCGAGCTTTGTGCACCGAGATGCCCTTTAATTTTTCTTGACCTGTTGTGTTTCTGTGAAAGGAATAGAGTGATGAGACTGGATCAACTGCTTTTGTGGACTATTTTAGGTAAAAGTTTGTTAGGTCTATTTTGTTATGATGTGTAAATATGTGTGCTTCCATTTAGAAAGTCCAATTACTCTTTTTAGATAAAAAGGAAGCACAACATCTTTAAACTTAGGAGACCCCCTTCTGTTATCTTTGCAGTTTTTGTATACCTGACTAGCAAAATATCCATACTCTTATCTATTCCGTTTTACAGTCAAATTTCTCTATAACAACCTCGTTTGTTCCGAAATGGCGGCTATAGCGAAATGTTGTTATAGGAAACATATATTATAACATAGTATAATATTCGGTTCCGAGAAAAATTCGGCTTTTATAGCGAATAACTATTGTATAAGGATACTGTTATAGAGAAGTCTGACGGTATATGACACTATTGCTATTCGAGATTTTGAGTTTTCTAAATATTTAAAGATATTTTTAGTTGTAGATTTTTTGATATATAATAGTAAGCCATATTAATGATTAGGTGGCTAATAAGTAGTGTCTACATGCTATTTCATTAAATGTTCAACGGAAATTTGAAGCTTAGAAAAGTATTCTGAAGAGGTTGTTACATGTAGTTAATGTTAGTAATTGCATAGAGTATGCTTATACATAACGTATAAATTGTTGTCTCCTTTCTTTTCAAAGAAAGTGACATGTTCCTAAAATCTATTTTCAAATTAATTCAGCTTATATTGCAGAAGATGGGAAGATTTAGCCAATCAGTTTAGTCTTATTGATCCATTAATTCTAACAAGTTACTTTTCATCCTTTTCAAATTAAGAACTTATTTGATGTAGTTCTTGAATATATAAAAAAATTATATCAGAAGCAAGAAATTTAATGTTGGGCTTCATATTAGAAAAGATATTAGTTTGGGGCTATGGTATGCAATAAGACATTCTTAGCACACTGTGGCGGAGTGGTTAATGAAGTGGATTAAGAACTACACGGAAGCAAAAATACTAGATGATTTTTCATATTTGTCAAGCTTTGGTGGACATAGTTATCTGGTACCTGTTGTTGGTGGGAGATGACAAGTATCCCATGAATTTAGTCGAGTTGTGCGCAATCTGACCCGTACATCACAATTATAAAAAAGAATATTATCTGACACCTATACTGATGAGAGAAGTAAATATCTCGTGGAATTGATTGAAGTCTTGTAAATTGGTACGGTTATTTAGAAAAAACTTTCTTAGATCCAATATTAGAATATGGTGGAAGTGGTCCAAAGTAGTTAGAAAGTGAGTGTCATGTCATGGATGATCTCATTCTCCAACCATTTTAACCCCAAAAAGAACTTGACAGCACTTTCTAGTTTCTACTATTTGAGGGGCTTGGTTAGTTAGTACATTACAAGAATGGCCATCTTTACACATTTTGTGATGGGGTTGGGTGGGACTAAGGGTAGGGGGCAATATTTAGTGTGGGGACCTACTTTACCTTTTGCATAAAATAGGCCCCTACCCCTTTTAAGATATAGAGAACTTGATGCTGGTATTTTCTCAACCATAGAAAACTTCTTGCAAAGGTATCTTTGGCAATTATCATCAACAAAAACCGTCCAGTATAATCTCACAAGTGAGATTTGGGGAAGGTAGAATGTACGCAGATTTTACCCCTGCCTTTAAGAAAGCAGAAAAGTTGTTTCCAGTAAACCCTCGGCTCAGGAAAGGAAAAGGAGTGGGACAATAACAAGCAAACCAATCTGACAACCGAAGTAAAAATACAAAACTAGTGATAGGTAATGCAATCAGAAAATCGAAATAAAAGACAACAACAAGTAGTAACAGAAGACTAAGGATACGAAAAAACACGAAAACACTAAGGGGTCGTTTGGTATGAGGTATAAGAAGGTATAGAGGTGGTAAAAAAATTTTAATACCACCTTAATACTCTGTTTGGTTAATAAATCAGGTATAAGTTATTCCGGTGTTAATTTTAACACCGGGATAACTTATACCTTATAGAGGGTGGGGTAATTAACACCGGTATAACTTATACTTTCTTCTTAGAAATTATACAATTGTCATTCTTAATACAACATACCAAACAGTGAATAAACAACAATCTCAGCATAACTTATTCCAACATAACTTATACTGGCATAACTTATACCGACATAAGCTCTATTCCAACCAAACGACCCCTAAGTGGTGTATCAAAGCTACTGTTACAAACAAGGACAATACTCGACTACCTAACCCTTAATCCTTATTCTTAACTTCCACCACTTCCTATCCATGGTCATGTCCTCAGATCTGTGGCAGTTATCAAATTATATAAAATCTCTTCACGATGATAAGAGGACATTTAGAAGCACATAAGAGTGTGGCCTAATGGCTATCGGATTACAAATCTTAGAAATCGGGTTTTATATCTAAGACAAAAAATATTAAGTGATTTCTTTTGTCTAGTACTTGTACTAATGAGATAGTAAGTATCCGGTGTAATAATCGAGGTGGTTATAAGTTGTAGAAAAAGAGAAAGAGGACATACGAAAAACAAAGTAATCAAATGCAGTGGGGTTCACTTCCCAAAGGAGGACTTTAAGAAAGAAAAAGAAATAAGAAAAGTCCAAGGATCTGTTACAGCATCTTTACAAATATGGGCCTATTATTAAAACGATGGGCTCACTCCATATATTGGGCTTAGGTTTTAATTTAGATTGGGCCACAGACTTTTGACTTTAATTCAAAACTGAATCATGCACATAGTATAAAGCCAGTAAATCTAGGGAGAAATTCAAAAATAGTTAGGTTTACAAGTGGTCATTCAAAAATAGCCACAGTTTCAAAAGTAATCGAAATTTAGTCACTTTTTATGTAAAGATAAATTTGAATGAAAATACTGTTCAATCCATAAAAACACTCCAGCATAAGGTAAGTATACTTGAACTTCAGCATATTATACTGGAGTTCCAGGATAAGTATGTTGGAACTCCAGCATAATATGATAGAGTTCCAGCATAATTATACTAGAACTCCAGCATAATATATTGGAATTCCAGTAAGTATATCGGTCCAGCATAATATACCGGAGTTTGGAGTACCGGTGCTCCAGTCTCCAGTATATTATACTGGAGCCAGCAAAATATACCGGTCCAGTATAATATGCTGGAGTTCATACACATGTGCACCGAACTCTAGTATATTATGCTGGACCGGTATCTGTTGCAGCAAAATAGTGGCTATTTTTTATTGACTAAGTAAACGCTAGCTATTTTTTAATAACCAGTCCGAAAACTAGCTATACCGTGCTATTTTTACAACTAAACAGTGTACTTTCGAAAAGTTGCTCAAACTATACCTTTCATAAATAAAAAGAAAAAGAATTTATAAATTTCATAGTTGTTCGTGTACTTATTTTAGTGATTTCTATAATACAATAAAGTAGAAGAATGAATAAATGATGTCACACAAGTGACATGATTTTGATATGAATTATAGCCATTTTTGTAATAAGCACAAATCCCACTGATCAATTGCATATAGTTTGAAGTTCGCCAAATTATTCATGTCGTGCCCAATCCGCATTATATATATTTTTACCACTGAATTAAAGTCTTTGAAGCACTATTACAAAAATAAAGATATTCCCGATGTGCACAATCCACATTATATATACTAGTATTACGATCCGTGGCGATGCGCGGACACTAAGGAATATTAGTCATATTAAAGTATCATCTAATTTATTTGAGCACGTTAGATTATACGTTTTAACTAAATCATAATTATCGTATTACCTATCCAATATTAAAAACTCATTGTAATTAAATTAAACGAATCATATAATTATATAATAACTTTTGAATGATACTCAATATCGTAATTATATAGTTTGTGCTACAAATAATATAAAATATAGCATGATCCAGAACGAATAAGCTAATAGATATTGTCTTAAAACTGCCCAGTGACTTTCTGGATCTTCAAAATTAAAAATTAAATTTTCTCTCTATATTATTTTTAGCATAAGATTTAATAATAATTTCAATCGTTATTAAAATTACATATATTATAAGTTTATTATATTTCTAAAATTTTAATGAGTTGCTTGAAATTTCTTAATTTGAACTTTTGTCATTCTAATATAAAAAAGATTTCTCATCTCAAATTCAAAGTAATCCAACACTTAAGTTTTAAGTTGATTTTTAATATCATGTCAAAATGCGATTAAATTTATTTGAGCACAACAACAATAACAACATACCCGGTATTATCCTACATCGTGGAGTCTGAAAAGGGTAGTGTGTATCCAAGCCTTACCCCTACCTTGTGAGTGTTATTAATCTGTATTGCTGTAAATAAATAAAACAGTAATCTTTCTGAAGGCAGAAATAGAAAGTTAGTAGAAATAAATTATGAAAAACAGTATTTGAACTTCAAAATAAATTTTGAAACGTTATAGGAACAAGTCGAGCCCACTGAATACACAGTGTGTCCTTAAGGAAATTATTCCCCTCAAGTACCCGAGGTTCTGAAATATATCCTCCCAAGATAGAACGATTTAACTCACCGGAGTGTTGGTACCAAAAACGCCGATGAACAGCGAACCACTCGAAGGCTGTAAAATACACTGGAATTTTTTCGTGCAGAAGAAGAAGAAGATTATCAGAAAATTTCGTAAGTAAGTATTCTGGGATTAGAAGGTATATTTATAGCTAATTTGGTACTGTTTCTGAAAAGGTTTGCAATCTTTCAGAACAACCATAGCTGTTGGAACGGATTTAAAATAATCCGGAAAAGAAAACGGGCCAAAC